ATCAACTAGTGTAGTCGAAACCCCCTATTCCGTTAATCAGTAGTAGGAAAACTACGAAGTGCAGCGTTTCAACTTAATCAGCTAACAGACGATTAACCAACAACAAGCAGATGGATCCTGAATGAAGATAACAGAGGAAATCTTCACGTTCGTGGCACACAATCTGAAAGTCCCCCACAGAGCGAACAGCGTTTAGAAGTGCGTTTCACCGGTGTCAGTTCAGTGATGCTTATGTAGACTATTTCAATCTAATTTAAAATGGGTCAGAAGATCTTTCCTTCACTTTCTTTTAACTCATCGCATTAGCTCACGTCAGCAGCGTGGCAGCAGCTGACGAAACCACTCAAGTGTCGACAGCAGATCCTACTCAAACTACAGCCGCCGGTGAAGTGTCTACCGAAAATTCTGTTCAAGAAACGGCTACGAAAATGCCGGAATTCGCATCGACAGAGAGTTCGTCAGTGATTACGACGCAGGCGGACGCCAAAGGCAGCGCAACGCAAGCTCCAGATGGGCAGAACACAATGGATACAGCCACTCCTGGAAAGAACGGAGGTGTCACCCCAGGCACATCGGCAACCCCAAAAACAACCAAATCTGGGGTAGATAGAACAAGGAAGGGATTGTCTAACTGGCTGTTTACCTCAGCTTTGTGTTTTGTGGGTTCCTACGGTATCCGTTTAGCTTAGGCATCGTGCCTAACATAATCGGACAAAAAACGATCACGCTGTGTGGAAAATCTGACACTTTTGTCAACTGAGACTAACACTAATGTTTCCAAAGCACCTTCGCTCAAACACATTCCACTCTTCCTCAGTTCTCGATTAACTGTGTAAACTGTAAGACATTTTTGCTTTCCCGTGTTTTTTCTTGTGTGAAAATCCAAGCGCTTTTTAAATCTCGCAGATTATTACGGATACCTCTCGCTAGTTTTGTGAATTTTCAATTTTCCTTCCTGTACTGAATGGGAAAAAAATGAACAACTATCGTTCGCTTGTTTTATTGTACTACTTTGCTAGGAACGGACGGTGGTGGGATAGCGGATTGTGACCAGTACGCCCAAAGCGGATTTCAATTAGCCGGAAAACCCCAGTTTAGGTGATTGGCAAAAGTTATCAGCAGGTGGGGGCACTTGACTAAGTTGAATTGGTTTGTAATCATATGTCGGATTTTATGTTGGTTAAGCTGTCCAAGGATACTGGTGCACCTCACTGAAAACGGGATCACGTGATGCTGCAAGGTCTTTATTTAACAGCTGTCCATTTTTCGTTAATTTACAAGACTTTCCTATAGTGAGTCCCCCCTCACCCTTTGTGCTTATCGCTGAGCATGTTACAACTGATTCACCAGCTGAACAAACGAACGTCCCCACAACTGAACACTGGACTGGTGGTAACGTGCTTTTCTCAAGTGTCAGACATCTGCGCTTCCGTTTCGACAAGGCTGTTTATCATGAGTGAAACTGGAGTTCAATCCTTGACCTCTTTGGTTTGGACCAAGCAGACTTTCTCAAGTGTCAGACATCTGCGCTTCCGTCCCGACAAGGCTGCTAATTATGAGTGAAACTGGAGTTCAATGCTTGACCTCTTTGGTTTGGACCAACCAGACCAATTGTTTTAGGAAATGGGTAGGAGTTTCCTAACCAGAGTCATGTAAATCCCACAACCACTTACAACTAATAGCCACAGTGCGAATTCGTCTTTTTTGGGGAGAATATTCAGAATTTGCTTACTTTTGACGCTCATAAACAGTAGCTGCTCTATGCTGAAAGTTTCCTGTTCGTGCAATGACACCTTATCCCGATTCAGTTGCGACATTCGCTCAACTGTAACACCCTTCCGGTACCTAGCTGCCATGCTACCCGAAGGAAGCACGAGGGCTAGGATACTACCAAGTTGCCCAAGCCTAGAGTCTGATACCATACAAAACCGGGGTATCCGAATGAGTTACATACTGGAACCAAATAGGATTAAACTGTACTCCACGTGCAAACGGGTCAGTTTTATGCATCGAGTCCCTCCAACCTCATCTACTACAGATCTACAGTTTGATCAATACAAATCGCCCACCTCGTATCAATACGACAGACGGCTTATCACCACTGACATTTTACTGGTAAACCTAACGATATGATGTGAAAACCTGAGCCTGGCTGTTACTGCTAGAATGAGACTTCTATGGGCAAAGCTGTGCTTTGTGCAGCCAATTCCAATGCAGAGCAACATCCGGTTTTTCTCATTTTCACAGAGCCCGTTCTGTTCATACGTCGGCTTAACTGTGAACAAGACCATTCGATGACTAATGATTTCCCGAACCAGTAGAGTTCTGACGTTGTCAATGGCAAGTGGCTCTCGTACGATAAACTGAGCAGGTAAACACCTGAATCGTGAAACCGTTGTAGTTGCTGAGGTTGTGCGTAACGACGGGCCCTTTAACCATCTGGAACATGCATCCAAGTAAAATGTACAAGGCGTTAAAGAATACACGGTAAATACATAATCCTCAACAACATTAACCTCAGTTGATGAAATCACTGCATTCTGCTCCAGTTGGTCTCCAGACCTCTGCGCAATAAGTCTGAGGGAGCGTCAGCGCGTCCAAACCTATCGGTTTGAAAATACCTATGCTCAAGGTCCTATCAACTCAGCAAGACGACCCACCGCTGAGTGAACAAGAGAATTTTGAGGGAGGAAAAACGGTGTGACAATTAGTGCAAAACCTATCCTCTCTGTTTGGCCGAACGTACTCTCAAAGGCTGGAAGGCTGTGGGATGAATACATGGCCGAATTCTAGTATCTGCCTGGGAAAATGATACGACACAAACGCCGAGATGTCATTATCAGCGGCAATACTTGCAACAGTACTGGGGTAGTTTTTGGGTCATAAAGTGTAAACAGAAGGTCAGAAAACAGCATCAGTCCATTAAGGACACACTAGCATAAAAACAAAAATATCATTGACTCATCAACGTTGTGCATAATGTATCTCATCATGAAACTATACTGTAGATTGTTGAATACCGTATTAAGTGGAACATAAGATAGCATTTCATCTGAAGCATACAAGAAGGAAATGCAGGTGGATTCGTCTGATTCTCCTCTTTGCCTTAAGTTGATCTGCAACTGAGGATAGTTCGCTAAATCCTTTTAGTTTCCACAAGGGAAGTTTTTCATGGGTGCTCAGAACCGCTTCATGTTGCAGGCAGAAATATGATAACTGTTTACAAGTCTAAAAAGTGGTGGTAACTGTGTTCCTCTTCTCAGTGCAGTGAGTTCTTAATGGAAGGATTGCTATGCTAATCGAGATGACGCATTAAGTATTTGTTCTCAAGAAAAATTCACACTTCTGTGTTGGAAAGGTAAGGCTTGGCCTAACTGCATATTTTGAGGGGCTAGCAATGATGGGGTTATTCATTTATGGAATGACGAACCACAAACCACGTGGCACGGCGTCCATAGTTTCTCGAAAATCGCAGGTGCACATTTGACCCCGAACGGGCTGCTGGTACATCGATATGTTCTCCGGTGTTTGGATGGTCAGACCCTCTTACAAGACTCCTCCACTCCTACTTGAAGATACTCACTCCTCTGAGAGTTCAGATTTAAACATTATGTTTTCCCCGTTAAGCCTGACAAAGTGGTCATCTGGTGTAGAATGAAGAGATCTGTTTTAAACAGCGAAAAACTTATCGAACAGTTGAACCGAACAGTCAGTCTTCCAAAGTGCCACAGATCTTGCACTCCAAAATCAATAATTTGGTTTTCTCCAGAACTGCACTCGTCTTACAGTACTCGAATACTTCGTTTAACGGTTCTGTTGTGCAGTGAGTCTCAGAATGTCGATGGCAAACCATCGGCTGGACGCTCCTCTGGTTTTCGTCACTTAACCAACTTGACCGCAACACTTTCCCCATAAATTTTATGTTAATTTTATAACAATGTGCCATCACATCACTCTCTATATCACAAAATGGAGTGCACTGCACAAAACACGGTCTGGCGTAGCTGGGTGAAATCTCGCGAAACTTGGGCATCTACCCTCACTCTGACGCTAGTAGGTCGAGGTGGTTCGCGATGGATGCATAGCAGAAACAGGAGTCTGGTTCACCATGAGAAACAGTCAAATTTCGATTTGCCAACGAATGAAAACTGGTAACCAGATGCTTTTTGGCTACTCAGCATTTTCGCGCATAAGTTGCGAACCGCTATTTCAGAATAGGAAACAATGCTTCCTTCTATAGACCATAGTTTGACGAACGTTGTACATATCATAGCCACCCTGACCTGGTGAGTTTTACCTACTGCTCTAGTGAGTCTGATTCATCACCATATAGTCGCTTACGCGGCCACTATTTTAAGGGCGCACTGCAGCCAACTAATCCATGTTTTACTGCAAAGACTCCAATGGCCAAATACTTCAGTCGGTTTGCGATCCTCAAGCAGGCGGGTTCAAGCTTCCTAACCACAGGGTAAGACTGTTGGTACAGCTAACTTTTCAGCCCATTCCTCTAGCTTTGATGAAATTTATATCTTGCGCCATAGACTACCTGAGTTCACACATTTCTGGCGCCTCGAAAATAGATGCAGTGTTTTTACTTTCACAGTTTGTTCTCACAGGATCTACAACTATCACAAAAGCCCGAAAAAACTGTGAGGCTACTGCAGCCCTCCTAGACAAGTATTTTGGTGATCGCAGTAGTCAGTCTTGATCAACGAAGACACGTTAAAGCCTGAAGTTATTCTCTTGAGACATTTGATACAAGGTCAGTAGGACGACTGTGCTGCCATTGGTGACTTCGGACTGGGGTTCAAAACTGAAACAAAACCATTGAATCAGTGCTGTATGACTTTTCATTCTGAAGTTGAACGTTGCATGCAAATGAAACTTCATTCTATATTTGTAATTCCTTTGCCATACCTTTGCTTAAAGTTCATCGACAGCCCACGGCCTGTTTCGCCCTTCTTGGGGCTCATCAGGTAGGCGCAGTCCCCGAGTTTCCGTCAACCTTATGTTCTACTCATAAGCGGTCATCTAAAAGTGCAAGAACACATCGGAAAAAATAGTGCTCATGCAACTGGCCTCACGGTCGACCGCAACTCACCGGTGCTTCACAGGAAAACTTAGCTTAGAATCCACTAGGTTTATTGTCTGGTGGAGAGTGAATTCACTATTCGTTGGAAAGATCACATACACATATCTGACTTCGAAGACTAACCTAGAGCTTCCATGGAAGTCAGTCAATCTTCGAAATTTTCCACAGAAATTTGACAAATTTTTGATCGTTCTTGACGGAGCACTTGGAACAGAGGAAAATGGGAAAAATGAGGAGAGCTAGAGACATTTGATGCATGCGTATTCCTCTAGTCTGCTGCTAGGTTTTTGCTCAATCAACCTTGGAGTAGGTATCAGAATATCATAGGTCTACGGCCGATAGATCAGTTGCATTTGTCCGCATTCAGCCTCTGAAACTTGAGTTTTCTTGAGATTCACTTAGGTGCAGATAATTTTTTTTCATTTCTGTCGCATTCTCAGATCGACACATGAAAAAAGTAGCAATGGTGGTGGTATCAGCCTTTCTCTTGGACTAAACAAAAAATGGTTGCGCTGTTGGTGGCCCACGATGTTATGAGTCGATATCCGTTAAATTAGTTCTACGTTTGGGGAAATCGGTACTGCAACATCAGATGGCGAACCAAAGCATCAGTAATTCTATGAGTAGTGTGGTCCATTGAGAAAAGTCAGCGGCATGGATTCATGGTGAGTACCGATCCCATTGGTCGGTGTGTCATATCGTCTGCCTCAAAAGAGCTATCAGGAACTCAAAAGGAAACTCAACAGGAAACTCAACGGGAAAGCCGGCAAGCATCCAGGCCAGTCAATCACTCAATCAATTCAGCAAAACCTGATGAGTGTTCTTGCACGCCACAGAAGCACGACCGAATGTGATCACCGTTCAGGCATTTCATAGAGGCACGATCGACGTTGATGGGTGTTCAT